TTTATTTATTTTAGAGATGAGGTCTTGCTTTGTTGCCAAGACTGGAGTGTAGTGGCCATTCACAGGCATGATCATGATGCTCTACTGCCTCCAACTTTTGGTTTCAAGGGCTCCTCCTGCCTCAGCCTCCCAAGTGGCTGGGACTACAGATGTGGTCCACTCTATCCAGCTTCGGCTTTTAAAAATTAGGTATTATTTATTTATTTGTCAATTTTGAGACATGAATAAATATGCTCTGTGGATGGTAGTCTCAGGCCTGTTGTGTTAACCCTTTTCTGTTTCTTTTTTCTTTTCTTTTTCGTTTTCTTTTTTTGAGACGGAGTTTTGCTCCTGTTACCCAGGCTGGAGTGCAATGGCGCGATCTTGGCTCACTGCAACCTCCGCCTCCTGGGTTCAGGCAATTCTCCTGCCTCAGCCTCCTGAGTAGCTGGGATTACAGGCACGGGCCACCATGCCCAGCTAATTTTTTGTATTTTTAATAGAGACGGGGTTTCACCATGTTGACCAGGATGGTCTCGATCTCTTGACCCCGTGATCCACCCACCTCGGCCTCCCAAAGTGCTCTGATTACAGGCGTGAGCCACCGCACCCGGCCCATTAACCCTTTTCTGTACATTATTTGTACTAAATATAATCCTTTAAAGTGAGGCTGTTGGGAAATAGGGGTGTGTGGGTATGTTAATGAGGGGGATATGAAGAGGGTGGGACTTTGTGCTCCACCTTCTCACTTTTCTCTTTAGTAAATTGAGGATTTTTTTTTTTTTTTTGAGACGGAGTTTCGCTCTTGTTACCCAGGCTGGAGTGCAATGGCACAATCTCAGCTCGCCGCTACCTCCACCTCCTGGGTTCAAACAATTCTCCTGCCTCAGCCTCCCGAGTAGCTGGGACTACAGGTGTGCACCACCTCGCCTGGCTAATTTTTGTATTTTTAGTAGAGACAGGGTTTCACCTTGTTGACCAAGATGGTCTCGATCTCTTGACCTCATGATCCACCCCGTGCCCGGCTAAATTGAGGATTTGATGGAAGATTTTTTTTTTTTTTTGAGACGGAGTTTCGCTCTTGTTACCCAGGCTGGAGTGCAATGGCGCGATCTCGGCTTACCGCAGCCTCTGCCTCCTGGGTTCAGGCAATTCTCCTGCCTCAGCCTCCTGAGTAGCTGGGATTACAGGCACGCGCCACCATGCCCAGCTGATTTTTTGTATTTTTTTTTAGTAGAGACGGGGTTTCATCATGTTGACCAGGATGGTCTCGATCTCTTGACCTCGTGATCCACCTGCCTTGGCCTCCCAACGTGCTGGGATTACAGGCTTGAGCCACCGCGCCCGGCTGATGGAAGATTTTATATGAAAAAAAGTACAGCTATTAAAATAAAGTTGGAAAGCCACTCCTTTAAACAGTGAGATGAATTTCAAGCCAAAGATTGATAAAATCACATTTGGATTTTAGTAAGACCAGCCTTGAAGTTGGCAGAAGATGTTTTACAGATTGAGGTGGTGGTAAATTTGGCACAGTGGTGAAAATCAGAGTCATAAATCAATACATGGAGGCTATAGATTGATTTGACTTAACATAGTGGGGCATTTTGAAGGGAGTAGCCTACAGGTCAAAGCTAGATTAAAAGATTTTCTGATTTGCAATTGGTTAAGGAAAGAAAGCTTTATCTAAAAATTTGGGGTCAACAGAAAAGAATGTTAGCTCTGGCTCGTGAGCATAACCTCCTCTAGGCCCCACAGGAAGAAATTTAGAACAAAGAGCAGTGGTCAGAATTCAGTCCTCAGTTCCCTTTTATCTGAGGTCTGTGTGCCAGCAGATCCATTTGGTAGGGGTTGGAATTTCTGAGAACAACTCAGTGACATATATTAAGATGTTATCTTTAGTTTCTGTAGGGAACATCCCTAACTTCCTTGGCCATTATTTTGAGCTACTATTATCTTTTTGCTTATCAAGTGGCTGATATACTTCTCAGGGCTAGCTAGGTGTCTGGAATTTCCCTGGAAGGAATTCCAGATTTTTCTTTATGTCTACGTTGGGGGTGGGGGAGGGCATGGCAGGTCCTAAGAGAGATCCCTGCTTCCTTTAAAGGGCAAAAGCTGTGGTGGTAGGATAGGGAAGGAGAGGAAGGAATGGATTAGAGAGTATTCCACATACAAAATTGAGCAGCATTGATGATTCATTGGCTGAGAACCTGATTGAAGAGTGAATAGGGTTGTGGGAGGGAGAGGAATAAATCAGTAATCACTCTGAGGTTTTTCACTTGGTTGACTCCAGAAATCTAAAAGAGGGGGTAGAGAAGAGCATTTTTCTCTGGTTGTGAGATTGTCAAATCCTGTAATACTAACTGGGTATTCAACAGTTCAATTCCGACACTCTTTATTTGGAGTGAGCATCACATCTCACAAGTAAAAGGTCTTAGTCCCACAGAATGCCTCCAGTTCACCTGTCAGCTACAAATAGGGTGCCCAGGCTACCCACATATCTACATGGTGACTGCAAATTTGGGAATTTCCATAACCTCCTTTCCCTTTAAATTCAATAATTTGCTAGAATAGCTCACAGAACTCAGGGAAAAATTTTGCTTATGTTTACTGGTTTATTATAAAGGATATAACTCAGGAAGCCCAGTGGAAGAGATGTCTAGGGGGTTACCTAGGAGGTGAATGCACCTAAATGTGTCCACCAACCAGAAGCTCTCCAAATCTCCTTGAGTGTTTACAGAGCTCAATCTCTAGCCACACCTTCCTGCGGTCAGTGTGTGGGGAAGAAAGTTCCAACCTTCTACCCACTTGATCCTTCTGGCTACCAGCCCCACCCTAGCGTCACCTCCTTAACATGAACTCAGGTGTGATGCAATGAATAACAGAAAACACTCCTATTACTCAGGAAATTCCAAGGGTTTTAGGAACTCTGTACCAAGAACCAGGGACAAAGATCAAATATATTTCTTATTATGCCACACTGGTAAGCATCTCAAATTGCTGGAAACATTTAGGGAACACTTAACCTGCATCTCCAGCTTTAACATTGAACCCCAAGCCTCATCCTGGTGCTGTGAGGCCCCGTGTTCCAGGAGACCCTTAGATTCTCTTTTGCAGGCCTTAAGTACTTATATCAGTTAGGGTACAACTAAGGCTTCTATAACAGAGACCCCAATTATACACTACTTTAAAAGCAAGATAGAAGTTTATTATTCCCTTTTTGTTTCTTTTGGAGAGAGAGTCTTGCTCTGTTGCCCAGGCTGGAGTGCAGTGGTGTGCTTATAGCTCACTGCAACCTCAAACTTCCAGGCTCAAGTCGTTCTCCCACCTCAGCCTCCCCAGTAGCTGGGACTATAGGCACGTGCTAATTTTAAGCCTGACTAATTAAAAAAAAAATTTTTTTTTAAATAATTTGTTACTTTTACTAGGGACGAGGTCCCACTATCTTGCCCAGACTGGTCTCGAACTCCTGAAGCTCAAGTGATCTGCCCACTTTGGCCTCCCAAAGTTCTAGGATTACAGGTGTGAGCCACTAAGGCTGGCCAGAAGTTTATTATTCTTTTACATAAAAATCCAGGTAGGCAATCCAGAGCTGGTTTGGCAGCTCAGCATTGTTGGAGAACCAGGCTTTGTGTATCTTGTTGCTCTGCTTTATTCAACATTCTGTGGGCATCTCGTTGCCTCCTCCAGCTGCAGTCATTACACTTCTACTCCAGTTAGAGAGAGGGGAGGAAAAGGAAGTCAGGAGGATATGCCCTTTTCGTTTAATGGTGTATATCAGAACTACACACGTTTCTGCTTACATTCCGTTGGTTAAAACCTGCTCACATGGCCATACCTGACTGCAAGAGAGGCCAGGAGATGTAATATATATCTGGGCAGCCGTGCATTCAGCTAAAACTTCTACTTAGACAGGGGGAACAGATAATGGAAGACAGCCAGCCCTGTCTCCATCATTCATAGTATATTTAAGGACTTTTCCCCCTCTTTTGGGGAAACATGGAACTAACATTGTGACTGTTAATTCTTTTTGCTAAAGTAATTTTTATGTTATTGTGACAAAGGAAACATGATGTTCAATGAAATGAATAAAATGCTGGCAGAGGACCTTTGGAAAATCTTGTTCTGAAAAATATGCCAGGTTGCTTCTGTTTATTGTGGCTTCTAAACAGTAGGGAAGGAGTTAGCTGCTCATTAAACCTGCCCCAGATAAGGAATGAAATTATGGTTGGACCTTGCCACAATCATTTCTCTCCCAGGAGAGGCTAAAAATAGGATCAGAACACTATCCTGCTTTGAAGCAGGCACTCTTGCTGTGTCTCAGCTCTGTGTCCAACCCCCTGAAGATTATGGAAAAGGGAAAAAGATCTTAGAAGCAGAGGGCTGAAATTGATGTTGTAATATCTGAATGTTGTGTTGCCTTTGGGTAGAGAATTAAGGAGCAGTGGAAAACCCTTGGAACTAATCTTGAAGTCTCTGCCTTGGTGCTTAAGAACTAGAATTAGGGCTAACTCAAAGGCAGCTCCCTTGCTTTGGGAAGGAGATGAACCCAGGTGGCTCCTTTAGTGGACTGGAAGCAAAGTAGTCTCTCTCTGTCACCCAGGCTCGAATACAGTGGCACAATCTCTGCTCACTTCAGTCGCTGCCTACTGAGTTTGAGCAAATCTAATAGTTCAGCCTCCCAAGTAGCTGGAATTACAAGCATTTACCACCATGCCTGGCTAATTTTTGTATTTTTAGTAGAGATGCGATTTCACCATTTGGCCAGGCTGGTCTTGAATCCCTGACCTCAAATGATCCCCCTGCCTCGGTCTCCCAAAGTGTTGGGATTACAGACGTGAGCCACTGTGCCTGGCTTAAGATGTGTTTCATGTTATTTTTATCAAAATCACATTTACAAAAACTGCTCAAATAGATACACTAATAACTAGTTAAAAGTTTGAATGTAACCCTTAAGAAACATATGTAGGGCACTGTGAAATGTATTTAAGAAAGTCTAAAATTTTATATGTTTTTGTTTATAGCCTATACGGTTCAGACATCTGAGAGCATGGCCCCAACTGCCACTTCAGAGACTTATTTGAAAGCTTTGGCTGTTTGTCATGGACCTCTGGACCACTATGATTTTCTGATCGGAGCTCATGAGCTAAAGGATGATGAACATCAAAGAAAAGTCATACAGTCTTTGCAGAAATTACACGAGGACCTTAAAGGATACAATATAGAAACAGAAGGCCTTTTTTCAAAGGTGAGGCTTATATGATATGAAAGATTAAACAGTTAAAAGTGTAAGTATTTTCTAAAATGGATGCAATACAGTAAGGCACAGCCATGAAACAGTTTGAAAAATTTCCACCAGTTCCTTTACACAAATTCTGTCGGATCCCCTTTCCTGGCCTTTTGATGTTCCATAGCTTTCTTTTGCCTTCAGGGATTTCAGTAGCTTCATATTTAGGTATTTAAAAAATGCAGTCCAGTCTAAATAAAAACTTCTATGGAAATCAAGGCTTTTCCTTTCCTGTAGCTCAGGCCTCATCGAGGGATCAGCAGTGGAAAAGGAAAAGTGATGTGTTCTTTCCCTTTTCTTCCTCCTTCCTTCTCTGTTTGCCTGACATCTCCAGGGTCAGAAGGAGAAGAATGAAAGATTAGAGTGAAGCAGCAGTCTTAGTTTGTTATTGGGGCCTTTGTATGGTAGGTGCTGACATGCTAGCTCTTTGTTGAAGGGCTTACTGGTGGGTTCTTCGAGACTCCCATGGAGACCTCCACACTTCCCCAGTCTTTGACTAACCTCTTACAACTCTGGGGAAGCAACTCACAACCCTGCATTCTGCTGACACCACCTTGCTCTTGCCCTTAGCCTTCTTGGGTGAGGTCCTTTCAGTACATTCCTTTTTTTTTTTTTTTTGAGACAGGATCTTGCTCTGTCGACTAGGCTGGAGTGCAGGGGCGTGATATCTTGGCTCATGGCAACCTTCGCCTCCTGGGTTCAAGCAATTCTCCCATCTCAGCCTTCCAAGTAACTGGGTTACAAGCTTGCACCCCATACTCGGCTAATTTTTGTATTTTTAGTAGAGATGGAGTTTTACCATGTTGCCCAGGCTGGTCTTGAACTCCTGACCTCAAGTGATCTACCCATCTCGGCCTCCCAAAGTGCTGGAATTACAGGTGTGAGCCACCACGCCCAGCCTGGGACATTTCTTGTTAGGTCATCTTTTATGGTGTCTGTAAAAGCCACAGGAAGCATAGCATCTCCTTTTTCCACCCCTTTCTCCATGGGCAGCTTCAATCAGCCTACTGTCCTCAGACTTCTGCAAGTAAGAAGCAGGCACTAGTTTCTGTCTTTGTCATGAATACCCCCTTTCTCCTGGGGATATATGTCAAGTTCTCCCATGAACTCTTCACACGCTGCTCTGGCAGCTGCTTATGCATTTTCTTACCTAGGCAAGCATCCAGCTGGGGAGAGCAATGTCTATCTCAGTTTATATTCTGTCCTCATCTCTTTGGATGCTTCTCTTGGGAACCCCTTGTATTTGTAATAAGATAGCTGAAGGGAACTCTACTGCACTCTACCCAGCTAACAACTTTCTACCTTTATCACTCTCTTCAGTTTCACTTTGGTTTTAGGGCTGTTTTGCATTTTTTTTTTTTAAAGAAAACCTAATTCCTGCATGGATGCGACCCTAATTCCTGCATGGATGTGACTAGTATGCCTATTTGTATTTATTGATTGATGGATGGATGGATGGATTCTTGCTCTGCTGCTCAGGCTAGAGAGCAGTGGTGCAATCTTGGCTTACTGCAGCCTCCACCTCCTGAGTTCAAGCAGTTCTCCTGCTTCAGCCTCCTGAGTAGCTGGGATTATAGGCACCAGCCACTATACCCAGCTAATTTTTGTATTTTTAGTAGAGATGGGGTTTTGTCATGTTGGCCAGGCCGATCTCGAATGACCTCAGGTAATCTACCCACCTTGGCCTCAGTCTCCTGAGTAGCTGGGACTACAGGCATGCCTGAGCCAAATTACAGTCCCAGCCTGGGCAAAAATACAAAAATTAGCCAGATGTGGTGGCAGCCATTTGTAATCCCAGCTGCTCAGGAGGCTGAGGCAGCAGAATCGCTTGAACCCAGGAGGTGGAGGTTATAGTGAGCCAAGATGATGCCACTACACTCCAGCCTGGGTGACAGAGTGAGACTCTGTCTTAAAAAAAAAAAAGAATGAGGGCCAGGTGTGGTGACCAAACCTGTAATTCTAGCACTTTGGGAGGCCAAGATGATAGAAGATCTTGAGGCCAGAAGTTTGAGATCAGCCTGGGCAATACAGGGAGACCCTGTTTCTACAATACAAATAAAAAACAAACAAACAAAAAGGAACAAAAATAATTTTACTTTTTAAAAAACCTCCTGAGAATATAGTTTTATTTTCATGTAAAGAAAATGTCTTCCCATTGTGTTAACACTATTAGTTGAAAGAAATAGAGATTCATTTAGATTGCAGAAAGAAATGGAGATTTAGAATAAGATTATACAAGAACATAGCAATGAAAGACATCTCCATTACACAGCTAGGCCTTACAGTGCTCTGCCATTCATGTCATTCATTGTTTTGGTCCACTTGGGCTGCTATAATAAAATACCATAAACTGGGTAGCTTATAAACAACAGAAAATTATTTCTTTTAGTTCTGGGTGCTGGGAAGGCCAAGATCAAAGTGCTGGCAAATTCAGTGTCTGGTGAGTGCCTGCTTAACTATTCATGGGCAGCTGTCTTTTTACTGTGTCCTCACATGGCTGAAGGGACAAATGAGCTCCCTCAGGCCTCTTTTGTACGGGCACTAATCCCACTGAGGAGGGCTCTGCTCTCATGACCTCATCACCTTCCAAAGATCCTACCTCCTAAGAGCCTCACTTTGGGGGGTAGAACTTCAACATTTGAATTTTGGGGTGATCCGAACATTGAGATCATAGCACCCACTTACTTTGTTGTTCCTTTCCTCTCATGTCTGCTTCCACTTCTGTTCACTCTACCAACTTCCTTTTTTTGTTGTTGTTGTTTTTGAGACAGAGTCTTGCTAGAGTGCAATGGCACGATCTCAGCTCACTGCAACCTCCGCCTCCTGGGTTCATGCGATTCTCCTGCCTCAGCCTCCCCGAGTAGCTGGGACTACAGGTGCACACCACCACACTCAGCTAATTTTTTGTGTTTTTAGTAGAGACGGGGTTTGACTATGTTGGCCAGGCTAGTCTTGAACTCCTGACCTTGTGATCCGCCCAGCTCACCCTCCCAAACTGTAGGGATTACAGGTATGAACCACCACACCCAACCCCAACTTTTTAATTCTCTCTCTGTGTCTGTAGTTTAAATTCCTGAGTAAGGACCTCATAGGCCAACCAATGACTTCATCCCTGTTTGGGTAGAGCTTTCACGTTGGGTTTCTTAGAGGTCATTAACCAGCGTAAAGATTGGCGCTCCAGTTACTGTCTCACGCAGGGTTGCTCCCCTGAGCATGGCAGTTGCTCTCAGAAGTGGACTGTGAGGGTGGCGGGCACTATGAGTGACCAGTCCAGCATAATGGATATAGGTAATAATGAGGAATTACTCCTTTTGATGACCAACCTCTTTTTCCCATATTTCTCAAAGTTTATAGGTGAGTAAAGAACCAAAAAGTTGGGCCGGGCAGGTGGCTCAAGCCTGTAATCCCAGCACTATGGGAGGCAGAGGTGGGTGGATCACGAGGTCAAGAGATCGAGACCATCCTGGTCAACATGGTGAAACCCCGTCTCTACTAAATATACAAAAAATTAGCTGGGCATGGTGGCATGTGCCTGTAATCCCAGCTACTCAGGAGGCTGAGGCAGGAGAATTGCCTGAACCCAGGAGGCGGAGGTTGCAGTGAGCCGAGATCGCGCCATTGCACTCCAGCCTGGGTAACAAGAGCAAAATTCCGTCTCAAAAAAAAAAAAAAAAAAAAAAAAGAACCAAAAAGTTTGAAACATATAGACTGCTTATGTACTGCATATCTAGTTATATGTGATATATATAGAGAGATATATTTGCATATAGTATATAAACCATAATGTATAAAACTCTGTAATTATATAGGTTGTTATACAGATAGGCTTCCAAGTAAAATAACAATTTGGTTATGTGGCCTAGTCGGGAAACAACATGTTGTACTTAACTGGATATTTTGGTTATCTGAGACTTGAACTGCTTTCCTATCTTACTCCCTTTCTAGTCCTCTTCCTTTAGGAAATATATTCCTTTTTTTTTTGTTTTGAGACAGGGTCTCACTCTGTTGCCTAGCTGGAATGCAGTAATGCAATCATGGCTCACTGTAGCCTTGACCTCCCAGGCTCAGGCAAATCCCACACCTCAGCCTCCCTAGTAGCTGGGACTCCAGATGTGTGCCACCACACCCAGCTAATTTTTTTTTTTTTTAATAGATATGGGATTTTTGCCATGTTGTCCAGGCTGGTCTTGAACTCCTGGGCTCAAGTGATCCGTCTGCCTGGGCCTCCTGGAATAATATTCCTTTTATCCCTCCTCACTACTCTGTAGCATCCCTAGGGCTCATCTTACAGTGGTTGGTGAACTCCCATCCAATCCCAAGTATCCTGTAATTATTAACTTATTTGATTGCCGATTCAACAATGGTGTTTTTTTTAAACGTTCATGGGCTCTTCTTAAGGGCACTTTTCCATACTTTCACCTTTGATATATGAGTTGGCTATGATGGACCAGCTAGTAAATAACCCAGTTTTTATTGGGTAGTTGAAATCTAATGTAAGTGAAAGATTTGGTATATCAGGTAGAGTTTCAAATGTGTCTAGTAAAAGATCCTATTTGTTAAATCCTAGTGCATGTGAATAAATGTTTAGTAGGTAGAGCAACATCTCTTTCTAATAGTATTTGTTCCTTCCTTCCTTCCTTCCTTCCTTCCTTCCTTCCTCCCTCCCTCCCTCCTTCCCTCCCTTCCTTCCTCCCTCCCTTTCTCTCTTTCCTTCCTTTTTTCTTCTTTCCTTCCTTCCTCCCTCCCTCTGTCCCTCCCTCCCTTTCCTTCCTTCCTTCCTCCCTCCCTTCCTCCCTCCCTCCCTCCCTCTCCTTCCTTCCTTCCTTCCTTCCAACAGGGTCTTGCCATGTTGCCCAGGCTGGTCTTGATCTCCTGGGCTCAAGCAGTCCTCCCATCTTGACCTCCCGAAGTGCTGGGATTACAGGCATTAGCCACTGCTCTTGGCCCTTATAGTTTCCTAA